CTCACTGTTATTCAGGAGGTACTCAAAAATATCTGGAACTTTTTCATCCTTGAAAGAGTACTCTTTTTGGAGTCCCGGATCTAGAGCCCTTTGCTTTTGAGGTTGTTGTTGTGACGTCTGATTATTATCACTAGCAACCGCAGGCATTGACTGTTGGCTTCTTTTGATCTTCTTCCTTCCGAGGAAGCGTTCGGCTTGTTCACCGCGCATCTTTAAATCTTTTCAAGTCTTGGACGGGTTTAATCCCATAACTCCCAACACGTCCAAAGAGATGTTGTTGTGGCAAGTTTGTAGGATGAATTCCTCCATGATCGGATCTCGACAATTTATCGCCTTGTTCCAGAAGCGTTTAACAAAGTCGGCTACTATTTCTCCGTCTTTTTGCTTCTCATCGAAAAGTGTCCTGATGGATACCTCGGCGTCGTCATCAAAGAAGTTGTCGAGGAATGAGCTCTCTATATCGTCCCAAATGTTGATGCTTCCAGGCTTGAGACGGCAGTACCAATCGAAGGCAGGCCCTCGAAGGGTACCAACGAATGACCGAACCATCAATGCTTTATTACCGGATATCATACCTAAGTGGGACTTAAAGTAGATCAAATGTTGAGTGGGCGAGCCCTTCTCATCGAACGGCATAAAGTTGATCAAGTTGAATTTGGCCGGATACGGGATCGACTCCCACTCTCTCGGGTAAGGACACGGAATGCCGGTCTTCTTTACCTCTCAAGTAGACATCATAACATTGATTTTGCTCTCGAGATCCTTCATCTTTTCGTCCTCATCTGTATCATGTTTTGGACGATTTTCGAGAGGAACAGTGTGGTCACCCCCGGCATTGTTATCTTCGATGGGACCACCCCCAGCATTGTTATTTGTAGGGGATGCATTTGGACCACCCCTAGTATTTTTGGAGGGTGCATGACCATGATGATTTCATCCACTTCTGGATCACTGTTAACTGCGGCGTTCTGGGTGCGACGGCTGGATTCACCAAGTTGATTGGACAGAGCCTGCATCTATCCGTTATGCTCTTCCTTCATCTGTATCATAGCTATTTCCAATTCGAACTTGAAGTTCTCTTTTTGCTTAGCCAAAGCATCCTCGATGATCTTGGTCATTTGTTCCGCGTTGATCATGAACGCCTCACGAGATTGTCCTATGCTGGACACCGTATTATCAGAAGCAATGGCAGAGTTCGCATCTGATGCTTCATCGTCTGAGGATAATCCGCTATTCATCCTCTGATGGTCCCTACGCTTAGTAGTTCCCGTGCGTAACCGAGTTATACGTTAGGATACGTCCGAAAAATGACGAGAACTAAAACTTCGCGTTGACTTCCCTTTATCAGCCATATTGATAGTGAACTCTTGGAGTTCGTCGTCTTGCGTAACTGGTATTTTTCTACAGAAACGCCTTAGCTTAGTTTTCGACGCTTTATAGGAAAGCTTTTGGAATACCGAGACCCTCTGTCGAGCGGTCTTGGGACAGCTACACGCTGATAAATACTGTCTTGATAATTTTGGTATACGGACAGTGAGAGTCCGCTTTCCGGGTACCTCTCTTTTGAGATTTATTTGTACCCCCAGCTCGATAGTACAACTCATCGACGTTGCGGTCAGAGTAACCTATCGGCTGTTTATATGAATTCTCAGGTATAACGCGTTCGTCTGCTTGACGCGTTTTCTTCTGAGTAAACAACGCATTGTTGGCGTCTGCAGGAGTCACTCGTTTGGAATCATATTTTTCTAAGGGTGAAACCTTAACGGGCTCCTGGCCTTTTGTACGCATCCCTAAGCGGGCGGTTATAGGAATCAACTTGTTAGGAGGTCGTGTACGACCCCCAGTCTGGATGTTTGCTCGGGGTTCCTTCAACGGTCCTAAGCGTTCTTTAACAGGCACCTTGCCTCGATCTTCGGGTAGAGAACCGAGATGATCCTTCAATGGAATTCTAACTCTGGGGAGGTCCATACCGCCGTAGGGTTCTACCGGAGGCATGGGAGCGGAAGGAGCGGGATCCGAAGTTGACGAAGGCTGGGGAGTAACGTCGCCTGCTTTTGCCTTAGACATTGATTTAGCCTTTGGCATCTAAGTTTGTTTGGATCTCAGCGATCTCTTAAGCGCCTCTTCCTTTTGCATTTCTTGTGCTTTTCGCACCAGGATCTGGGCATGCGCAAGAAGTGTGTGACGCTTCTGAATGAGCTCCTCAAGAGTGGAACGGTTTCGTTTGACACGAACCCATTTGTTAGTAGGTGGTTGGGAGGAGGTTCCTGAAGCTTGCTACTGGAACACTTGGCGTCTTCTAAGTTTTAGATCCGCATCATAGCAGATCCCGTTAACAGGCTTCAAAGCCTTGGCAAATTGGCGCACGAGATGTTGACGGCGCCTTTGACGAGCCCTCTTCGTCAGCACTGGTGCACTTTCAACGGGCAACTCTTTGACTTTCAAAGAGTTATCACGAACATTGGATCTGGTTTCTTTAGAGGCCAGAGAGGGGTCTTTCACTACATTCGGGTTCAGATCATCAGCCCTGGTCTTCGAATCTGAAGGCACGTTCTTTGCGACAGTGGTTTTCCTACGTTTATAAGAAGAAGATCTGGAGGAGGAGGAAATATATTCCTCGAATTTCTGCTGGTCAAATTTGAATTCGACCTCTTCAAACACCGGGATCTTGATCGTCGACTGCAGCACGACAGCTTCGGCAGCGAAGCTGTTAGCTCCCAGTGTGGTCGCCAGCTTGTTTGGGGGATCTTTAATACGTAAATTCGTCGTCCGGACTCGGAATTACGTGGTTCAAGATGCGTTGGAAAGCCGACAAGGAGATCTACAGGCTTCCATGATTGGATCATATATGGAGTAAATAGGACACGAGGGGTGCTCCGCCTTTCGTAAACGACGCGGGGCTCTCGATCAGCTCTTGTTCCCGTTATTCCGAAGTTTCGTTGCTTCGTATGGCCTGTCGACTCACTTCGTGCATTTGTCATTGTCAAATGAGATTGTGTGACTCGAATAGCAACGTTCATCGTCTCCTCTCTGTCTTGAGCCGTGTGCGGGGACCTATAGGTAATTTTTAATGCCTACAACGGATAAACCCCGACACCGACAACGATCCCACACAAGCAATAGGAGTTAGAACTACTATTGTGTGTAGTTTGAAAAAAAGTTAAAATTGTTGATTGAAAGTCTTATAAAAAGGCTAATTTTTTGAATTTATTGTAACGTTTAAAGTTGTAATGGATTCTTCAATGAGATCGACTTTCCACCCAAACAGAGATTGATGGTTAATCCTACTTTAACTGATAAAAATACTATGTTTTATTCTTCTAATAACGTAACAATAAGAGATACTCATTGTCTCTTTCTTCATAAGCATTTAATATATCAGTTAATGGATGATCTGTAAGTTACAGCCTATAAAGAAATATAATCAATCATCTCCCTTATTACATTAGGTTATTTTCATGTATTTTAAGGATGTATAAATCAACATATATGATCTGAGAAAAACACAATAATTTGTTCAAGCAGAAAACAAACACTTGTATGTTTATATATTAAAGGCTAAAAGGCCAATTTGGTCGCTACATTGGGGCTTCATACTCAAATTGGTCCCTATATTTTTTTCTCAATTTGGTCATATATACAAGGACTTCATACTCAAATTTCGTCCCCCTGCTTTATTTTTTTCATCTTAATGTCTATATTGTGACTTCATACTCAAAGTAGTCCCTTACTTTATTTTAACTTTTAGTGTTTTGTAGTAGACTCCAGTAACTTTCAACATCACACTAAACCCTAAGAACATTCAAAAGCACACTACAATCCCAATAACTTTCTAAATCACACAACCCCATCCCCCCCTTCAATAACTTCCAAATCACACTAAACCCCCAATAAATTTTAGAGTTGCAGAAAATCTGCAATAAGTTTTTGCATTTTGTAGATAAACCCCATAAATTAGAATGAAAAACAATACTCTGAAGGACAATTTCAGCCAAAGAAAAAAGATAATTATAGTTCATGAACCTAACCTAAGCGAGCAAGATGAAAACTAATCACAAAAAACGAGATATTTATATTTTTAAGATTGAAAGTATAAAAATGTCATTAAGAGTTTTTTTAATAATATGAGGTCTTTTGGTCATTTAAAATTTTAGGTCATATAGGTTGCATGTGCCATGTTAGATGTAATTATATTAACTTTGAGGGTTTTTTCAAAAGCCATTGGGGGTTTAGTGTGATTTTTAAAGTTACTGCAAGGTGGGGGAGGCGATTTTAAAAGTTATTAGCAGTTTAGTATGATTTTTAAAAGTTCTTGGGGGATTTGATATGACGTTGAAAGTTATTGTGAGCTCACTGCAAAATGCTGAAAGTTGAAGTATTGTGGGCAATTTGAGTCTGTGGCATCAGTACAAGGATAAATTTAGGCAAAAATAAAGTAGAGTTATCAATTTGAGTATGAAACATTTGTACAATAACTAAGTTGAGAAAAAATTAAATACGGTAACTAATTTGAGTTTGAAGCCCCAATATAGACACCACATTGGCCTTTTAGCCTTTAGTCTTAGAAAAATTTCTCAAGGACCCAAAATATGGGACCAATAGAGGGGACAAGTGAGGTGTCCCCCTCCTATTGGATAATGAGTTAGGCATCATTAATGATGGGCCATCATTAATGATGGCCAACTCATTATCCAATAGGAGGGGGACACCTCACTTGTCCCCTCTATTGGGGTACATAATCACAACCATTGATTATCTAGTTGGTGGTTATGATTTTTTTCTTTTAGTGCAAATTAGGAATGAGTGCAATACACGGGGGTATAATAAGAATTTGATATAGATTGTATCATAACCGTCTATTAAGTAATTAACGATTGAGATTAAAAGTAGTGATCCCTCTACTACTTTTTTGAAGCGGAGAGGATCCTAATCCCTTATAAAAACTCCTCAACGTTAGTAAATCCTCATTTCCGATCACTGCCCGGCATCAAAATAAGATAATGGCGCGCTCCTCCCTCCTCCTCCTCTCCTCCTCCTACTCATTTCGATTGCTCAACGTCCATTCCCCTGACTCCACTGCTCTCCGCGTGTAATCTCGACCTCGGGCTCCACTCCCACGCCGACCACCCTGCCAAACTCCGGGCGTCTCGTGCCAGTCACGTGGGTCAGTTCTTTTCACAACGCGGATCCGACTACCTTCCCGCCGGCTGAGCGGGTCTCTGCCCGCATCTGTTGGCCTCTCATCGGAGCTCCGTGAGCTCTCCCTCCCCAACAATCGTCTCTCTGGCGCCTTCCCCTCCGAGATCGCCAACTGCGTCAAGCTTGAAACTCTCAACCTCCGGAACAATCGCCTTTCCGGCGAGGTCCCAATCGAAGTCTCCTCCCTCCTCCGCCTCCGTAGCCTTGACCTCTCCTCCAATAAACTCTCTGGCGATCTCAACTTCTTGGTTCACTTCCCCAACCTCGAAAATCTCTCTCTCGCAGATAATTTCTTCTCCGGTCGAATTCCTTCAACTCTCTCCTCATTCCGAAACCTCGTGTCGATAGACCTTTCGGGCAATCCAAACCTCCACGGCGATGTTCCTCGGCCTGGAAATTCTCTCCGTCTGCGCCAGGACAAGAACAAGAACAAAGCCCGTAACCGCATCTTAGGATTCATCGCGGGTGTGCTAGGTGGCATGGTTTCCGCCGCCCTTTTGATGACCATTTTCTTCCGAGCGAGCCCCAACAGCGCCCGTGGGCGACACGAGAACTCCGGCGGCCCTTCAGTATTCAGTCCTATTATAAAGAACGTAGGGGATCTCTCCTTTTTGGAGAGGGACGATGCAACCGCCTCGTTAGAGATCATCGGTAGAGGCGGCTGCGGCGTGGTCTACAGGGCCGAGCTCCCCAACAACCCCGGCAAGTTGATCGCGATCAAGAAGATCAATAAGACGGTCGACAGAGAACCAGGTGAAGAAGAGAGCAAGCAGCTCAACAGCTCAACAGTGCCGATTGCTCTTTCCTTGTCTACGAATTCATGAACAATGGAAGCCTGCACGATGCCATCAAAAGAGTCTCAGAAGGAAGCACAGAATTGGGCTGGCCTGTCAGGCTGAATATCGCCAAGGGGATCGCTGCAGGTTTAGAATATCTCCACATTCATCACAAGCCGCGCATAATCCATGGAGATTTGAAGCCTGCGAACATATTGTTAGATGACGACATGGAGGCTAGAATCACTGATGTTGGACTGGTGAAGGAGCTGTTGTGCGCAGCGGAAATTTCGGCAGAGTTTCTGGTGCACAATAAGAGAGAAAGATCGATATAAGAATTTCCGTCTCACCAAGGAGACAAGAATCTGAAGCGGATATCTCAACCAAGTGAGATATCGGCTCTTCCTCTCATCAGTTCTAGGACTGACCTGTCGAGGGATCCTAAAACTATTACAATGGCCACAAACTCAAACAACCAATTTTTACGTGGTTCGGCAAACTGCCTACGTCCACGGGGCAAGGAGGGGGGAGATCTACTATTAGAGGGAGAGAATACAACTAGGGTTTATAATCACTCTATCTAAACCCTCACACAATTATCTCTCTCTCTCACAAATGAAAACAAAAGACTGCACAAAAGCCTCTGTAGCCGCACAAACAAAACCTCCGTGTCTTTTCACCAAGCCAAGCAGCAAAGCCCTCTGCAACTTTTCCTCTTTGCACCGTACTTGCACTTGTACCGAAAAAAAACAATCACAGCCGGAAAAAGAGAGCTCTCCCTACACTTTCGTACCTGCAGCCTGCACTTTTTCCTTTGCCCCTGATTTTTCCCCTCGGTTTGCACCAAAGAAACCCTAGGACAATCCAAAGCTATATATAGCTACCTAGATGTTTTCGGGTGGGCCTTGCTTTTGTCCGCTGAACAATTCTCTACTCATGAATTCTTATTCACGTAGAACTCCCTTTCACGCGCTTTCATCAATGCATGTGGTCCCCACTTGCCACATCAAATTCACACACTCATCTTTTGCCCGCCACGCGCTTTCATCAATGCATGTGGTCCCCACTTGCCACATCAAATTCACACACTCATCTTTTGCCCGCTGGACAACTCACAACTTCCACAATTCTCCACCTCGGCGAAGTTTTCTCAAAACTGAGCCGACACCGACCAAACCAAATGTCTCACTTGTTGTGTCCAGTACACCGTGAAACAATTCACGACAACAGACTCAATCCATAACAAGTCGAGAACCCAAACGAGAATGCCAACACTCTCCAAATATCGGTATCAACTCACCAAATCGATCTCACCCCCATCAAAATTCAACCCCGGCTGCATCATAAAGACTGCCTACGTATCCTCTTGCCCAAGGAATCAAGCCTAACCCTCAATCCAATAGAAGAGTTCGCAACCCTTCTCCAATATCATCAACTCTGCGGCTGATAGCACCTCCAATGGCCTCAAACACCTCCACCTGAGGTGAACCACTGACCATATCCAAGCTACATCTATCAGCTGCACTCGAATCAAAACCCAACTCATCATCTGCATCCGAATCCAAATGACTTCCACGCTGTGTCACCTCAGTTGGAATCCCAACCAATGCAGAATGATCTGGAGTAATCTTTACCCAATGTGGAGTAGCATCAGTCTCCACCCGCTGCGATACCTCTAAGGTCTGTCCAAAACTCTTCACCTGCTGAGAGTCAATCGGCTCCCTCATCGAAGCCTCAACCAAAGTGACACTACCAGACCTATCTTCCAATGGAGTTTTACCTCCAATCACAGCAGTTGACAACTCTTTAATAGGATAACCCAAATATGTCGAAGCCTCTGTCCAAAAACTCTTCTGCAGACCATTGCTTGACAACAAACACCGATCCTCCTCCAGCAAGGTACGGTTCTTCAAATTTGTCACCCTATCTAGCTGCCCCAAGATTTCATTTCCAATGAAGTGCCTCGAAATGCCTTGAGCTTGGCTCCAATACAGAAACAGGTCCATCTTGTACCTCCCATCAGAATGGAGTACCTTCACCTTTCTGTCTGTCACACACTTCTTCAATCTGTTGGAAACTACTAGGACTTTCTCCAAAGGGGATTTGGTTGCAACCCAAACACGCCTAGAACAGTCACCAACAAAGGAAACCAAACGCCTATTACCTCCCAATGATGCCCCCTTGGAAGGCCCCCAAACATCCACGTGAACTCCTCCAGAACGACCCTTAGCACGGTGAATAGAGATGCCAAACTTCACCTCGGTCTTCTTGCTCACATCAACATGTTCACTGGACTTCAAACTGCAGGTCTTTACACCCTCTTTCAATCTATGCGAGGAATCAATACTGGAATGGCCAAGCCCCAAATGCCGCAGTCTAGACGAATCAATAGAAGTCGTCAGCTCTCCACCTGCCACTATACCTCCAGTCAAATAATACAGGTTATTCCTCCTGGCGCCCTTCATTACAATCCGAGAGATCTCGAGAACCATGTCCTCAACATGAACCTTCAGACCCTCTCCAACCAAAGCTCCAATCGAGATCAAGTTCTTCCTCAAAGAAGGAACATATCTCACATCGTTTAACTCTCTAACAGTCCCGTCAAATATCTTTATGCGAATTCTTCCTATCCCAAGGATCTGGCATGCACGGTTATCAGCCATGTACACCACACCACTATCTACCAGCTTCTCAAAACTGGAGAACCATTCCCTTCTAGGGCACACATGATAGGTCGCACCACTATCCAACATCCATTCAGATTCCTCCGAATAGCTATCTGTAGGACTGATAGAAAGCGAATAAATAGAAGAGTCAGAAATATTACCATCCGATACGATGTTTGCTTCTGATGATGGTTGCTTCCCTTTTCCCTTCTGCTTATTCTTCATCCATTCGTCGAGCTTTGGGCAGTCTTTCTTCCAATGACCAGTCTCCTTGCACCAAGCACACTGATCTTTTCCAATTGTAGGATGCCCTACTCTAGACTGTGACTTCCAATTCTTCCGGTTCGGATTCTTCCCTCTTGCGACCAACGCCTCTGCTACCGACTCAGTCGAATTCTCCTTATCCTTCTTCCGAAGCTGATAATTCACCAATGCAGCAGTGACCTCACTATACGAAAGTGATGCCTTCACATTAATCAGAGTAAGAACGAAGGTCTCATATTCCTCGTCGGGCAAGGAACTCAACAACAACAACGCATTGTCCTCATCTTCAATCTTGACATCCACATTCGCCAAATCCGCAAGAAGCTTTGTGTAGTGGTTCATGTGATCTCTAATGGAGGTTCCCTTCTTCAACTGGAAACGATAAAGTCTCCTCTTCAAATGCAAGCGATTTTCCACACTCTTGGTCAAATACTTGCTTTCGAGAATCTCCCAAATCTTCTTCGCAGAAGTCTCATTCATCACATCATATTTTAGATCTTGAGTCAAACAAGACCTAATCACACCACACGCCGTTCGATTCATCTTCTTCCAAACCTTCTCTTCAATCTCATCTGGCTTGCCATCTAACTCCAATGTATCCTCCAAATTCTGCGCGTTCAGCGCATCCAAAACCTCGCATCTCCATAATCCAAAGTTGTTTGTGCCATTAAATTTCTCCACATCTATCTTCATAGAGTGGATATTCAAACTCTGAATGGTCTTCACGCCAGAAGCACCACCCTCGACACCCAAAGCACCTTCTTTCCCCGACATCTTACGCACCAACGAACGAATAATAGATTCAAAACTAAAAAGATAGAGTCTTTACACAAAAGATTCCACCTTTATCACCAAACGAAGCCTTAGACGAGCCTCCAAATTGATCTACTCCTCCAAATAGCCCAAGCGTAGCCCGAGCTCTGATAGCACTTGTTGTGCGTAGCGGAAATTTCGGCAGAGTTTCTGGTGCACAATAAGAGAGAAAGATCGATATAAGAATTCCCGTCTCACCAAGGAGACAAGAATCTAAAGCGGATATCTCAACCAAGTGAGATATCGGCTCTTCCTCTCATCAGTTCTAGGACTGACCTGTCAAGGGATCCTAAAACTATTACAATGGCCACAAACTCAAACAACCAATTTTTACGTGGTTCGGCAAACTGCCTACGTCCACGGGTAGGGGTGCCAAACGGTTCGGATATATCCGAACCGATCCGCATCCGTATCCGAACGGATGCGGATATGGTAGACTAATTTTACAGGGGTCGGGTCTCAAAACTACAATTACAAACCCGTAACCGCTGGCCCAAACCTCTAAGAACTAAGAAGTCCAAGTGTCTAACCCTAGCCCCCGTTCATTTCCTGAGTCCAGCGACGCCCATTCATTTCCGTCTCCAGCCCCCATTCAATTTTCCAGCCTCCGTTCGTCATCTTCGCCATCCCTCTTTCTAGGGTTCTCCAATCCCTCATCGCTTCTGCTTCTAAAAAAATGGGGGTCAACATTTTCGCCGTCTCCGACCCCAACATCAACGACGAAGATCTCTCCAAGATCGAAATCGACAAAGAATTCACCCACAGATTCGAGCACAACAAGAAGCGCGAGGATCTCCAGTGGTTCGAGGAGCTCAAAAAGAAAGGTGTCGTCGCTTCCTCCTCCGACGATTCCTCCGACGACGAGTCCTTATCCTCCGACGTCGAGCCACAGAAGGATCTCAAGTTCTACGACGCCCTCGTTAAAGTCAAGAAGCAAGATCCGATCTTGAATCAGAAGGACGCAGATGAATACTCCAATGGGTACACGAGTCTAAACTGTATTCCCACCCTCAACAGGAAGTTTCTGGAGAATATTAATCTGAATATTCTTAAGGATAACCTGAGGAATTCTCAATGGATATACCAATTCAATGGTAAACGCTGAATTCACAAGAGCAAGTATCAACTTTAATTCAAGATCTCGACAACAGTCAAGCGATAAACGCGACGCCGGGAGAACGTTAGCTATTTTACGAAGAACTGGATAGACTAACAGCAGAAGAGGTTAAACATTGAAGCCATTTACAAGTCCTTTCATACGATAAGTGCGGATATGGTTAAGGTTTTTTCTTACCGAGAATGATCCGTATCCGTATCCGTATCCGTTTATAAAAAGCGGATATGGATATGGTAAGTGCGATATCCGAGCCGTATCCGCTCCGATAACACCCCTATCCACGGGGCAAGGAGGGGAGAGATCTACTATTAGAGGGAGAGAATACAACTAGGGTTTACAATCACTCTATCTAAACCCTCACACAATTATCTCTCTCTCACAAAAGAAAACAAAAGACTGCACAAAAGCCTCTGTAGCCGCACAAACAAAACCTCCGTGTCTTTTCACCAAGCC